TGCTTTTTCTTTAACAAATTATTAAAATTCTTAAAGCATATTAATAAGAAAAAGAAGTCAATCTGGAAAGGCTACATACTATATAACTTCAATGTCTGGGAAAGGTAAAAGTATGGAAACAGTAAAAAATATCTGTGGCTACCTGCCTGGGGTTGTGGTGAGGGGTGACTAGACAGAGCACAGAGGAATTTTAGGGCAGTGAAAATGCTCAGTGTGATATCAGAATGGTGGATATATGTCATTATACATGGATCCAAACCCATAGAATGTATAACACCAGGAGTGAACCCTCCTGTCACCTCTGGACTTTGGGTGATTATGATGTCAGTGTAGGATCATTGTAACAAATGTACCACTTGTAATATTAGTAATGGAGGAGGTTGTACACATATGGGGACAGAGGGTACGTGGGAACTCTCTGTACTTTCCATTCAATTTTTCTGTGACTCTAAAACAGATTTAAAAAATAAAATCTATTTAAAAAAAAAAGAATGAATCAGTGTGCATTGTTTCCTCTATCCCAACCCCACCAATCAGTGACTGCTCTCCTATGCTCCTCGCCACTGCACTACCTTTGAATGGTTTGTACTGGTCTCTGTTGTTTGTCAGCCTTAGTGAGTGATATTGTCTTTCACTTGACAGAGCATAAGTGGTAAGCAAAGCTTTCACTGTTTTGATCCATGTTTTTTAAAAATGCTCACTGTATTTTTGCTTCCTGTAACAAGTATTGTGCTTGATGTATACTTCAAAGAGACGTGGCAAAGATAAGAAAGGGCAAAAAGAAATGAAAAAATCAATATGGGGAAATATCATTTTCTGATTGCTGGGAACAATTTCAATGTTCCCTATTTGTTTTACAGCTCAAAGGAAAACTCTGATAGTATACAAGTCTTATTTAGCACTATACAAAATGTGTTTATGATGGTGGGAGAAGATAGTCTGCCCTGACCATCACCATGGTAACCTCTAAAAGCAAAGATTATGTCTGATTAGGTTGCCCTTCTCAGGAAGAATTGACCAGAAAAAAATCTTTTGAAAAGTTTAAAATGGAAGGTAGGAAGATACTGGTACTAATTTTGCACAGCTGCTCTCCTCCCTGACTCGCTTAATAAGAGTGACTCAGACTACTTTCTAGAACCTTTTGCCTCTCCTTTGGAGAGCTTCCAATGACATCCTCCCCTTGCTGAAAATGTACCTCAACTCAGTTCTCTGCAGTTATTGTCTCCATAGCTCATAATCAGAATTCCATATATCTTTGTGATTGCCTGTAAAGAGATTAATGAATTCTCCTAAAGAAAAAAAATAATAATAAAAGACATGAAACATCAGGTGCTTGGAAGAGTTTAAAAAAAAAAAAAAACTTAATCCTGTCTGCCCTGCAATGATCTGGGAGGCATGCAGGCAGCAATAAGATGGAAAATTGGAAAGAGTCAGAAGACTATTATATGTTAGAATTATCTTTATAGAAGTTTCTGATGCTCTTTGTCTTAAAAAAGAATCCTTTTAAACAGCATTTTCTATTTTTTCCCTAAGTTTCTACTGCCAATACTAGTACTTATAAAGCACAATGTGTTTATCAATTTATTCTGCTCTTCCTGTTTCATTTCCTAAATAATGTAATAATCAAGTGATTTCTTGGAGGCTGACTAATGTCAAGAGGAGCATCAAGGAGAGGAAATGATAGTTTTACTCCCACTTGTTGGACTGATACAATATTCTGTAATGATGGCCTTAGAAAGGATTTTCTTAAAAGTCTGCACACTATTTCCAAACCTCTTGATGTTTTGTAATCTGAAAACATTGTGAGGTATAAAATGCCATTCAATCATTTACATGTATATGGCAAACAATGAAAAGGTCATTCCTTCAACGATGCAGGTAAAAAATAATCATTGCATTCATTTGAGCAAAGAATAAGAACTGAGTCATTCTTCTCTCAATTGACAGGAAGCTGTTTCATTTTTCTGATTATACATGATATTATAACAAATCCTGGAGACAAATGTGGAAATATGTATCAAAATTGAAAAGCACAGCTCCTTCGCTAGAGGTAGATTTCTACTTATGCCCATGGAAATGGGTTTCAAGATTCCTACTGTGGCAAAAAATAGGAAGTTATCTAGATGTATTCTGTGGGTAGGAGGTTAAGAAAATGATGGAACAATATGATGTAATACTATTTTTTTTTCAAAAGAATAAGAGCAGGCTGTATGAGTCAGTGAGGAATAACCCTCAACTATACTCTTAAATGAAAATATGGCAATTAGATAAATCCTAAGTGCTTTTTGTATATTAACTTATTTGATCCTCATAACAATTCCCTTCAGTAGGCACTCTTATAATTCCTATATTATGGATGAGTTAGCAGGGGCACAGAAAGGTTAGGTAATTGCTCAAGGTCACACAGCTAGTGAAGAGGATGTCATGATTTGATCTTATACAGTCTAAACTCAGAATTTGAACTATTAAATACTGAGCAAAACAGTAAAACAATGCTCAGAATAGTATATATACTGCTAGTGTGCAATAAAGGATACATACACACACAAAGTCAATCTTCACTACTTGCAGATTCATCTACTTGCTAAAATTTATTTGTAACCCCCAAAATCAATCTCACATAACTTCCTAGGTGTAACAAGGAGTGTTCTGCCTTCTGGCTTCTGCTACCATACTGTAAATGTGTCCTTTTATGGTCTATTTAGTGCCTCTTTTTCTCATATTTGTGCTTTTTGTTGGTAATTTTGTTGTTTAAAATGGCCCCATCTGTAGCAGTGAAATGCTGTCCAGTGTCCCTGAGTATACGAAGGCTATGATGTGCCTGACGCATGTCTTAGAGAAGCTTTGTTACAGCATGAGTTGGAGAGCTGTTGGCTGTGAGTTCGCTGTTAATAAACCATAAGTAAGATGTCTCTAAACAGCACCACACATAAAACAAGGTTATGTAATGATCAGCTGATAACAATGTCATCAGAGACTCACAGGATCCTAACTCTGTATTTCTCCCTTGGAATATGGTACAATAGTCACTAATTCCATGTTTATAGGACTCTATGGAACAGAACTTCCGTAATTAACAAGTATAAATTATACACATGTATATGTACACAATAGGTGGGCACATATGTACACATAAATGTGCATGTATAAAAATTTATGCTCATTTATGAATCATGCACATGAAAATCTTGAGAGCATAAAATAAGCTGTATACGGTAGTTATTTTGAGGCAGAAAACTAGGATTCTGAAGTTTGGAAGTGGGAGAAGGAATTTTCTCCTAGTAAAATTTTACCATGTGTGTTATCGATAGAAATATCTTTGTGCAAACAGAACAGTACAAAGAAAGGAAAGTTTCCCAAAGCTCTGCATAACCCTATTTTCCTGCAAATAGTTTCCACAAATAATTTTCTAGGTATTTAAAATCCAAACATAACATACATAGTCATACTGTACTGAATCTTGCTTTTTAAAACTTCTAAACTGAACTTTTTAGATCAAAACGTGAAGAACTACTATTCCTCCTTCCCCTTCCACAATTCCCCCCAAAACAGCCCCCTGCTGAGATGGGGCATCACAGATTCCTCTTTCCAGGTTGCCCTCTCACAAATCACATTTCTGCTAAGAATGCCACAGCAACATTTAGAAGATAAAATCATACCATCACTCTGAAATAAAAAGAGAGCATAGCAGAGGGCATAATAAGAACTGAGATTTCCTGAACAGTTTAACATTTTTTTATGTTTTATACTTTTCAGTATGAATGAAAGAATTTTTATTCCAAAAATGGAAGAGAAAAGGAATTTACTCAGTCACTTACATATCAGGTGTTATGTGTGTGTGTGTACATAATATTTCTTGATATTCATACCACTGAAGATATCAATTGATATCATTATACTCCTTTTACTGGTAGAGAATATAGAGTCTCCAAAATCAAGCCATTCATGTCTCCCAAAAGCAGAGAAGGAAGGCCTTTCCTATAGGTATACGCCACTGAGTGTTTATAGATATTATGTCTAAATTTGAATATGTGACTGTAATATCTGCAAGTTGCTGAATCAGTTTTTTAGCTATATCCAACTCATACAACATTAAATAGAATCCAGTGCCCCCAACGATCATATAACAGACACAATATGAATTCCAGACAATCAAAATTTTAAAATCACAGATACACAATACCCAGTGTACTTGACAGTGAAATTCTAACCTTTTCAGTGTAACTGTCTTTCCTAATGAAACAATTTTTCACCATTAAGATTTTGATTTTGTTATTCAAAACAAAAGAAAATAAAATCCTTTAAGATACAGATACCCAATTTAAAGAAAAAGATGCCATACACATACAGCTGTTTAAGATAATGGCTCCTAGGACTGAGAAAAGTTGAATACAAATGAAGTAACAACTTTATTTTCATGATTGTATTTACATTAAACCTGTTGATAGATCAGATTTTTGAGTTTGAATTGCACTAACTACTAGTTTCCTCTAGAGGGAGAATGAAACAAGAATAGGCAAATGGAGTATTTATTAAAAAGTGGAAGGAGTAAAATGATACTGAAGACGCCTCTTAATAGAGTAAAAGCATTTTGTGAAAGTTGTTTTAAGAAAAATCATACATTGATTAGTTTCATTGTGATATATTTTCTAAGCATAGCTAAATCCATCTCTAAAATAAACAGGATGATATTTTTAGTTCCCTTTTAATTTTGAACTAACAGAAAAGATTGTAGTACACACATACACACAATTTCACCCACTTCATGCTAGATTGCAATAACACCTATGTTATAAAAAGACAGCAAACTGCTTAAAACATTTTTCTAAAACTGCACGTTTAATTCTGAGTATTCATGAAATAAGCATGAAGTTCAGCTACTGAAATACACAAGTGAAGCTGAGAGCCCGTAAGCAAGTTACCCACTGCAATATAAACCACTGCATAGAGCTAAATATCAAAATGATTGACTCTTCTCCTCTCTATCCCAAATTTCCTAGGATGGTAAATATTCTGCTAGAAGGACCTAATCTTTTAAATTTGGAGACCTGAAGAAAACAAACAACACTGAAATAAGTGTCCATGTGTATTGTGCAAGAACTGAAATCCAGGTAGCTCTGCTGTTATTACAGAATTTGAAGAAATAAACAACAAAGAGAGATGTGATCACGAGCTCCAGAAATAATGGTTTCCACAAGAGAAACAACCGTGGAAGAAAATTATCCTCTTTGCTAACAATACGGTGATCAGCCTCACTTGCTTGCTCCTGATGATGAGGTGATGTCACTGGTCAGAAGCGCTGGCCTATTTTCTGTTCTGCCTATGGTGGGTTGGATTGGATGAAAATAAACATCTTACATAACAGGCCGGCTGTGCACTTCGTCTTTTTTTTTTTTCTCCCAAGGAAATTTTCCCAGCGTGAATTCTGCATGTACAATTAACATTGGCAAAATTTCAGCTGAAAAATCTGTTAGGTTTATAAGCAGATTAACGAATGCATTTCTTGTATGCTCTCCCCCATGGCCCTTACCAATCTCACATTTTACACACACACACACACACACACACACACACACCCATCACTATCACCATCATCACCACTATCATCACCACCCCTCCTATAATCAGAACAGCTTTGTACTGAGAGAAAGAGAAACAGCAAGTTAGAATTGGAATTGGCCTTCAAGTAGTTGTAAACAAACTAGGAGGATCGCATATTAGAGCTAACTTCTTATCCCTGTGAGGCAAACCAGACATTATCACTGCTCACTTTCTCAAAATTGAAGACGATGAGTCAAAGATTACCAGGTTCTAAGAAATACATCCCTGTGTCAATGGCCTTCATAGTCAGGAAAGGGGCAAACCTAGCAATGGAAATTTTCTATTGTAATTGTTATAATTTATGCAATTTGGACTTTCCTTTTATAAAGATGGCTTTAATATAGAGGGGATTATGAATTATTAAGCTTTAGCATTAATTATGGAGAATTCATATATAGTTAACATATTACAATGTACATTATCTTGTTTTTTCTAATTCCTGAAGGTACAACAAAATCAGAGTGTCAAAGAGCTGAAGGAAACATTTACTTGAACAGTCTGGATAAAGCTTATTTGAAATCAGCAATAGAATTTACAGTGTTTGAATGGAATCTATCAATTGGCTTAGTACTCTTAGTTTCAGGAAAAAAATCATCACACAGTCTCTACCCAACAAAGCAATTATTTCTGTATCTATCGCATAACTAACACATGACAAATATTAAGTAACCTAAATAATGTGTAGTTGAACTTAGACTATAAGACATTTTTGCATTTCTAGGCAATAAATGTTATCAATCAAGAGAGAAAAGTCATTCTAAGCAAATGTAGAGAAACTGAAGATGAATTAATATGATCAGATCCTTACTGTGGTAAAAATAATCATGACTTTCTGTAGTAATCCACATCGGAGAGGAAAAAAATGCAAATCTCTTATTTGGTGCATGAACATAAGGTTAAGTCAAGAAAGGCAATTCTATACATGTGTGTGCCTTGCTGGGTATCTATTTAAAGGTGATTACCTAACTTTAGAGACTACTATTCCTTCTGTAATATGCATCAGTGTGCTACATACAAAACTAACATGTACAGTAATATATATTTGAACATCATAGCACATGTATGCAATGAGTCAGCTGTCTTACTTTGGAAAATCATTGAATTTATTTTCTAAAGATTTGCATTTATATGTCAACTTTGTTTCTTATTGCCCATTAGAACTTAGACAATTAACCACACTTTTCTAAGCTCCAGCATTCTTATCTATAATGTGAAGACACTGCTACTATCAAGAGGTATCTTAAGGAATATAAAAGAAAACATTGCACTAACGTATCTAACAAAGTTCTCAGCAAATATGCATTTATGAATATCTATGATGAAGTCAGAGATATTGTTCAGTAATTTCACAAAGCAGTAAGATTGAATTCATATTTTCCCCAAAATTAGGTATTTGGCTTCTTAGAACAGTTATTTGTTTACTTGGCTTCAAGAACAATACTAGTCACGTTTTTTGAATATACCGATATATGTATAGCTGTTTGCATTGAATGAATAGTATCCAAATCAATTTCTAATTGTTAAGCCAATCAAATGTAATTTAAATGTCATTTGGGTCAAAAATCTGTTTATAAGTGGAAGAAAATTACTGTAAGGGTTAATATAGAATTATGATCTCTTGAAATATTTCCACAAATTTTTGAGAAAATATTTCTTTATGTAGTGTTTTTTGTACAATGTTAAAGAATACATATTTAAAAAGGTTTATCACTGAAAATACTTCAAAAGCAAAAACAAATAAAATGAAAATCTCATATGAATATCCTTGTCATAAAGGCATATCTTTAAGACATACATGCACAAAGCAAGAACGTAGAAAATTACTGTATTTTTTATAGTTGCGAGATGAAGAAATAAAAAGTATGGAATTGTTCCAAAGAACACCTGCACCCCTATGTTTATAGCAGCACTGTTTACAATAGCTAAGCTTTGGAAACAACCCAAATGCCCAAAAATAGATGACTGGATCAAGAAGATGTGGTACATATATACTATGGAATATTACTCAGCATTCAAAAAAGATAAACACATGCAATTTGCTGCAACATGGATGGCGCTGGAAGGGATCATGCTCAGCGAAATAAGCCAAAAAGAAAAAGAAAAATACCGGATGGTCTCACTCATAGCAGGAATCTAGAAAACTTAAATAATGGACCAGGAAAATGAAAAACTATAAGAAAGTGAAAATCAAAATCAACAAAAAACTATGAACCAGAGACACTTTTAGGGGGGGGGGGGGGGAGGGGAGGGATTGGGGTCAGAATGGGGGGCGGCAATTGTATGGGGAATATAACAATAAAATTTATAAAAAAAAAAAAAAAATGTTAAATGAATCAAAACTCAGTATGCATTTACATGCACTTGGTAATAAAACCAGCTAAAGTGAAAACTATAAAAAAAAAAAAAAAAAAAAAAAAAAGTATGGAATTGTGACCCTTCTTTATAAGCTTTGAATCACCAGTGTTAACAATTGGTGGTGAAGGCTTATTGAATTTACATTTTAGGGCTTTATTTTACTATTTCTGGGGAAGTTCTAATGGGATGAAATTTAGGTTCCATGAACTCTGGCAAAAGAGGAAGAAACTCAGTTTTCTCTTTGTGCAAAATCTCAAGTCCAGATGCTGGCTTTTTTTCTTCATGAAAATTCATCATGTATCTATTATACCTTCCTAATTAAAGTCACACATGTATGAATAATGTTTTGAAAATCATTCACTATCCACTTTACATATGTTAACATATATTATGTTTTAGAATCATTTTGTGCCAACCAGTTCAGTGTGCTATAGAACTCACAAAGAAGTAGTAGGACTATGCAGTTCTTACTCATTGCTTGGGTTCAGGTTTTATAGTATTGAAAAGTGAAAAAAGCTGGAGTTGCCTATTTTCTACAACTCAAACATGGTGACTAAAAAAATGGATTTTGTCTTATGTTCTTATGTTTCTAAAGTGTTGTAATTTTTACTTCATTCAACAAATCATTTTTAAATGTCTACATAATGGCAGTCACTTTTGAAAGCATCTGGAATATATCTGTGAACACAGCAGAGCAGGGGGCTGGCGGGGGGGAGATTTGTCCCATAAATTAAAATTAAACAAAGATGCTAATTCTCTAACACAGTAGAAGTAGTAAGTCCTGTGGAGGATAAGAGAGGAGGGTCAATTACCTGAGGAGGAAGTGTCATTTTGAATGGTGTGGTCAGAGTTGGTCTTGATGAGAACTTGACATTTGAACAAAGATGTGAAGCAGGTGGAAGAGGTGAGATTTGAGTGTCTTACTGTCATGGAACACAGCATAGTTCCAATAATCAGGAGTCTGGCTGTGTCATTAACTGAATGAAACTGGCCAAGAGTTTTACTTCTTTACCTATAAAATAAGAATTAGGCAAACTATCTGTTCAAATCTGTGGTGAGAAAAGATAAATATGTTGTTTGACACCAACTGGAGGTTAGACACTCAGAATGAATAACACACAATCTTCAGCCCTTGAGGAACTGGAATTTTACAACAATAATGATTATATTCTATCAATAAATGATGGTGGTGGGCCTCCCCTGGTGGCACAGGAGGTTGAGCACAGCGCTGTGAAGCTGTCCGCAGCCTCTGCAGTGCGGGTTCGATTCCCAGCCAGCCAGGGAGATTCCCACATGGTGCAGCAGACCTCTCCTGTCTCGCCCGCTACTCCCCTCAGCAGCGTATTTCAGTCAGTCTGACTTTTCTGTTCTCCACTCTGTCTCAGGTGAATCCTCTCAACATCCTGCACATCTGGCCTGTACCCCGGTTCTTGTATGCATGAATAATTAAATCTTTAAAAATAAAATAAAATAAATGCTGGTCACAAGTGGAAGATTTCTTAAAAAAAATAAAATAAATGGTGATAGTATCTTGTGGCATCTTAAAGATTTTCATGCATTTGCAATTGAATGTGCTAAAAAAGTCCAAGATTGCCTTTCTCTTTCATCATCTTCTTAGACCTTTGCATCATAGAACCTGGCTGTCTCCTTCCAGAAGCTTTTCCTGTACTGTCTAACTATTCTTCTGTAGCTTCTCCTATGTCTCAACTACTCATTCTCTCTTTAATTTACTAACTTCTTTCCTTCTTTCAGATCTTTTATAAATGTTTTGGTTTTTCCTCAGTCCTCTATGTTTTACTCTGTCCCTTTTCTTCCCCATGGACAACTTAAGTATTACTGATTATAAATATTCCCTAGGAATATTCCTCTCCACTTCACCTAAATTATGAGCTCAGATATAACAGAGGAACTTGCAGGTGAAGAACAAAATGATATGTTTTATTGCTAAAGGCCAAGAATGACAATGTAGCTTTACATGGGAATCCAATAGGCAGGCTAACTGGACCTGAGTCCTTGCCTATGTATGTATGGGAGCTAAAACTTCATTTCTATCTTCTTAGGAAATATCGTTGGGTCTGAGAATTAAAATTGCATGAGGCAGATTAACAGGAGAAAAGGGCTACAGATTTTTTTACACATACATGAGAGTCCCATTAAAAGAGGACCATTCAAAGAAGTGGCAGAAACCGAAGTGTCTACATACTAGGTTGAACAAAGAGAAACAACTGTGGGAAAATATCTAAAATATATGAGAGACTAAAGAAAGATGAGCTATTTTAATAGTCTATTTGTACAGAATCTTCTCATTTTCAACACTCTTGTCTCTCGTGAAAAGAATGTTTGTCTTCCCTCCTGGTTTAGAGAAAGCACCAGTCACATAAGAATTGCTTTACCTGCTATTTTCAAAGCCAGAGGG